TAAAAATAGTATTATTTAATTCAGTAAAACATGAATCAAATTTATATCCAGATCATCATTAAGTCGGATCAATAGAAAATAATTAACAAATGTATAAATATTCAAGCCAAGTAATAATCAATCTTAAGAAGCCCAGGTAATTAAAATCACAAATATAAATTATGTAAGATTATAAATACTTTATTTTCTAAGTTCTATACCAAAATTAATCACTTATACTTACAATGAGGTACTTTAACAAAATCATGTATTTTTTCTTCCGGACCTGCTGCCAAAATTGTTTCCTTCATTTGATTTTTAGATTTAATAGTTTTTGACAATGCTTGACCTGTCCATGGTAACTTTAATTTTAACCACTCCAATCCATTGTACATAAGACTTTCTAAATCACCACGACGTGTATACACTATAAGATGGTAAATACAAAGAGATGTAGAACAAATTTTTAATAAGATCTAACATAAATTTAAATTGATTAACACTAAAATCTATACTTACTACCAACATGACCATCTAAGGCAATGTAATTAAGTGTACCATTATTTGCACATTTTTTATCTGGGAGTAGATTTTCAGTCTTATACTTGGTCACCATACCGAAATCGCCTAAAAACACATGGTTCTGTCTAGGATATTTCCCAATAAATATATTTTGACTTTTAATATCCCAATGAACATATCCACGTGAGTGAATGAACTCTAACGCATCAATCTGTTAAAAAAAAGCAAAATTAATTAATAACCCTGTAAATAACTTGTGACGAATATTATAGAGTACTGATTTAATTTTGCAGAAATTATCAAACATTTTAATGTTGTTAGCAATTGCTTTTATAACAAATTTTCAACAATATTAACCTTTTAGAATAAACTTAGATGATGTTATAACTAAAAAATTAATCAATTACTCTGTATGATAAACTTTGTCACAAGTTCTTACGAAAAAGTTTCCATAATATTCAATACAAAATATTTAATGAAGAAATTAAAAATAAGTTATTTACTATTTGTCGAACTATGTTAATAACAGCTCCTAATAATAAACTATTCGAGACTGTTTTAAGAAATTCCTCTAGGTCTTTATCAAATTTTTCTATAACAATAAATCTATATTGATTATTATTATAAACAGTACTTCCAAAACCATAAAATTTTGGTAATGGCAATTCTTTCAACTTTTTTTCAGTTTTCCAGATTTTGACATCTATACATAAATAATTAATAAATTAATAGACAAATTAAATGTTATTTAGGTATATATTTCAATACCTTGTTCTTTCACATTTTTTATATAAAACATACGTTCCACAAACAGCGGTCCACTTTCCATATTTTCCTATGAAAACCATACAAAAATATAAATAAAAATTAATTAATTTAATTAATTAAATCACACAAATTTTAACAATTTTAAATGAAATAAAAATTGTATCAGTTCTTTTAAAAATAATAAATAATAAACAAATTAATCTTAATAAATTAAAGTAAATTTTTCCAACCAAATTAAATATTTAAGATTAATGAATGAATCAGACTTTATTTTTAGCATTTAAAATTAGTATAATTAGAAAATTACTTACAGTTTTGATTGCATATTCGATCTTTGATCGACTACCATGTTTGATTCCTAAAAAATAAATTTATTATTTTTAGTCTTGAAACATATTTCGGTTCATAAACTATACCAACCACAATAAACATATCCAAATCCTCCACTACCAATAATATTTTTGACTTCCCATACAGTATCTTTAATATCTTTCAACAAAGTTCCACTGGGTAATTCTTCTTTAGGAGTTGTCTTTGCTTTTTTACTCATGTTCACCTTGGATGAAATGCCAACTATTAAATTTTTAGAACATCAAATATATATTAATACTTTAAGTTATAATGACAGATTAATTAAATTAATTAGCTACCACTGGAACAACTTAAAGTTCAAATTTAAGACCTTTTTATACAACTGAAATCTGCATTTCACAGGTATTTTTAGAAGGAGTAATGTATCTATCCTTTTGACTAATTCTATATAAAATATGGTAAATCGTAAGTTATAACTTACTTTTAATGAAAATTCCTACTTGATTTACTCGCTAACAAAGATTATTTTAATATTTTCCTAGATCAATCGAGAATAAACTGCAATATTGCCATCTACCAAATCAATACTCAATATTAAAGGTAAAATTAAAATATAACATATTTTATAGTATTAATGTTTAGCTATCTCGTACCAAAACTCGTTACGGTCTTATCTAATGAGATCGAAAATCATGAATCACGTGCAACTCATTTAAAACGCTGAGGTGAAAAGGGATGAACGCGAGATTTCGTAGTGCGTGAGAATATTTTGTTGAAACGAAATCAATTGCTAGCCATTAAATCGGTTCGGGCGAACGCGTGAGCGGGGTTGTTTAACTGGTTTCGAGACGAGCTACCCCAAAGGATCGACAACTACAAAAAAGTTAATAAATAAAAGTTGAAAAAAACCGTTACACGACATTTGAGCCTAGCAATGCTAGCAGACGACGTTCTTCCTACTAACCCGGAGCTGACACGTTTCGAACTAGGTACTTACGGTGCGGGCAAGCAGTAGAATTAACTGCTGCAGGCGAAAACTAACGGAAAAACGGATTCGGACTCAAAATAGAATGTACGATCACAACTGGTAATCACAAATAATAATAATAATTTTTAGTTACTAAAAATGCAACAGCGGTTTTAAATTTCTTGGTCGCCGCAGAAGATATAACCGCGTTATCACAGCTGATATGCGATCAGTGTCCCTCGCCGACAGTACATTTTTGCGACCATTTGTCCCATCAATGCCAATCGCGATTGACAATCAACAGATAGCTGGTGAACAGGTGGTTTTCCCCGTGTCAACCTACTCAGCAACTTATATATAAAAATATTATTCTTATACTTGACCACAGAATAGATTAAATCTATTTTGTGCTTTTACTTCCATAACGGTCTCTTATCATTTTATCAATATGATACAAATATTCTGTTGTTATCTCAACAATATTTGAAATCTAGCTGTTTCAGTATCAAATTTTAAACGTAAGTATTTATTTTTATGTTTAATATTCATCGTTTTGAAAAATTTCGAAAACTTTTCAGATTTATTTAATTGGTTGACAAGAATGTTTTTATTTATTTTTATATGTCAATTTATACTCACTTAGTACAAAATATATTTGTTAAATTAAAAAATCGTCTAGTATTTTTTAAAAATATAAAAAAGTTTCCAAAATTGGTTTAAGTTAGAGATAAAATAAGTTTTTCATAAGAAAAACATGAATGCCCCTGTTGTCAAAATTCAGTACAACATTTAGGACAAGCAGAAAAATAAAAAAATCCTTAGAGGGAATAATTTTTATGGTCCAAATGAAACAGAAATCAATAAATCAAACCTTAACTAAAAAAAAAAAAAAAATGTTTCATTGAAAACACGTCTAGATTAATTAATCTTAAATTTATTTACAATATAATTTCAAACTGCCCCAAGTTTGGCCGTTTGACGGTAATTATTTATAATTACATAATCTTAGTTTTAGTGAATTAAAATGATTGTATTTTTTTGTACAATTATAGTTGAAACTTGTATTCATCTCATTTCTGGTATTTTAATATGCTTGTATTTCCAAAAAATATTTATTCTAGCCAGGGGCGTCCTCAAGGGGGGGGCGAATGGGGCAGTCGCCCCCTCCATAATCTTTATTTTCTTTCTTAAAATATTCATTATTTGTATTAAAATATAACACTAGGAAAAAAATATATGCAATGTGCCTTAGATATTGATATTATGATTAATCGCTTTGCTAAATCTAAACACAGAATCGATTTTATTCTTTGATTTGTACATTTTTTTTATTGCTTTTTTACTATACATCTAAATTAGATGATCTAATCAATAAAAATAATATTTGTTTTGTGTGTTAATATTCATTAATTTACATTTAAATAATTTAATATGTACAAAAATATTTTAATACTGTGACTCTGTTAATTAAACTTTGTTTTTTGTATCTATAACTATGCCTATGTCAGATGCCCTAATGACAATAGATACCCCGAGTTAAATCAGGTAAAACACTTAGTAATTGGTGTATTTTTATATATATAGGTAATGTATGTAGTTCGCCCCCCCCCCCTATAAAAGGGTCTAGGGACGCCACTAATTCTAGCCACGTGTTAAGTCGAAGCACGGATGAGGCGTTATGGTTTTTTTTTCGAAAAAAAAATGATCCGTCAACAGTGAACAATTCTACAATGATTCATAAATGTATGAAATTTTTTATAAATATCGATATATTGTGGTCAGTTGTGTCCCTAAACCCTTTTATAGGGAGGAGGGGTGAATTTATTACATGTATTCAAATTTATGTATTTTCCTAGTATGATATAAATAATAAATAATAACAATTTAAAAAAAAAAATGCCATAGTGGGAAGGAGCAACTACCCCATTCACCACCATTTGAAGACACCTTTGACCATGGTAGGCTAAACTGTAGCACACGACATAACATGCTACAATATCTTGTGGCCACATACAACTGTTAAAATTAGAATATTATATTTAAAATATTGTAAATTAATCTGAACATTGGCCTAATTCTATTAAATTTCAGCAGGTGCAAACAGACACGGCTCCAGCCCCTCTCCTCCTAAGAACATATAATATATATATATTATATTTTTTTTTATAAAATGTTGTCAAAAGTATGACTTAGTCCCTCTCAACCAAGTCTTGGAGCCCCTCTGGGTGCAAAGCATAAACATAACATAACAATAACTAATATATTAGATGAGTAATAAAATCTCCATTTGTTATTCATACTCTATTACATACTTATTCTTATTTTGAAAACATAAAAACGACTGCATTGGCAACACAAAAATTTATTTATATCTACAATAAAATATTTACTTACAATTTTCTACAATATTAGCTATGACTACAATTGATTTATGATAACATAATTATTATTAAATAATGTGATGTATTTTATATTTTTATGATTTGTTCAGTTGTGTTGTATTTTATCATACAATTTAATAAAACAATAAAATATAATTATATTTTATCAGAATTTTGAGTTAATTTTATTTCAGCAGATGCAAACGCAAATATTTGCGCCTGCTAAATATTGCCAAGAAGTACTAGTGCACCATCATGCATCCCCGTATTTACGCCACTAAATCAGGAAATAACAAAATTAATATTCGCCCTTTTAGTGCATAAGTGATAGTAACTTGTTCAATAAAATTTATTTCTTTAGTCTCCATTTTTTCACGATGAACACTTAACACACATAGCCTCTCTTCACCATGTGAGTAGCTAGGTTTTTCAAAAGGAGGGTGTTATTCAAAATTAATTGACAAAATTATACATAACAAAATAATAACTTTACGTATTTTACTTGTACAAGCATACTAACACATTACTACATTATCACTATACGTGAACAGCGGTGGAACGAGGGGGAGGAAGATGAGGATCCATCCCTGGACGTAACTTTAGAGGGTATAGCTTTTGTAGTACGAGTACATAATCTATTATTGACTAAAATTTGATACTTTTAACTTAGTTACTGATAATATGTTTAGAACTCAATTAGTATTCATTATTATTAAAAAAAAAATTGTTAGAAAGGGTATTTGATCCTTGTTCTATGGGGGGTAATTTTAAAATTTTTCCCGGGCATAAAATTTCCTAGTTCCATCTCTGTGTATACGAATATCTATTCATGTGTAATATACTCATGTATGAGAAAATATTTAAATATTTAATTAAAATTTCATATGTACATTTTGTCTCTTATATATATTTTAAATTATATATTAATTATCATTATTGTTATTTCAATACGTTTTATATAATTACTACATATTTCTATTTAATTATATTAAGTAGGTGCATAATTTTCATAAATAATTAATAGGTACTTATGTAAAATATAAACATTATAAGACTGTATTTTAATAATATACATATTTCTGATAATCTATTATTTACCTAATTAAACAAAACTTTGAATTTAACTATTTAGTATGTCAAAAAAATATATTTTTATCATATATACATTTATTATTCCAAAAATAAAATTACATAATTTTTGTTAAATATACCTTTTTGCTTTAAATTAAAATAGTTTATCATAAATTTATATCAAAAAAACCAAATATAAAAATTGAAAACGACCGCTAAACGACAAACTATTAAAAATTAATTGTAATAGTAAAAATTTAAAAAGAACATTTAAACGTTGTTAAGCATTTTTTAAAAAAGATGAAGCCTCTTATAGTCAGGTTGGGTTGTTTCAAGATTATGATATTATGTTTAACCAAGAAAACAATCTCAGTAGAAATACAGAACAGAGTGTAAAGAGAAGATTGTTTAGCGATGATTCTCTTCGAAAATAAAATAGTCATGAATTCGAAAATGCTGTAGAAAAGTTAAGCCTAAATTTTTAGTATAATGATGTTGAAAACAAAGAATAAAATGTTATTATCCATAACCCTGATTTATTTAATAGTCCATTTGAATTGAATGATTATAACTGCTATGAAACAATAGTAGCTGATAGTGAAAAGAAATTATTTCTATTCAATAAATAAATAAAACCCAAAAAACCAATTATTATCCTTTAACGTAAAGCAAACCTACACTTGAGATTTATTTACACCAAAAAAAAATTATAAATCTATAGTTGTTTGTACCACACTAGAAGCAGATTTAAAAGCGTTGCCTAAAAACTCGAAAAATGTGTATCTCTTAAATGTTAGAAATTTAAGAGAGGGAGATGGATCAAAAAAGATAACAGATTTTAACAAGTGTACTTTATAGGAGTCGTGAATTTGCAGGGTGAAGAGCTGAAACATATAATCGCCAGTATAGAACAAAAAAATGTTCTCATTTTAGATAAAATTAATGATTTGTTACGTGAAATGTTTTAAAACTCATGTGTGTTGACCATTAAGAATAAAAATATTACCAAGAAAGGTTTAAAATGTTATAGTATTTTTCGACATAAATCATGCAAACAGTTTAAACTTGTGGCGGAGAAAAAACAATGATGCTTAGGTCCATTTCACAGTTCTAAGTTACAGCCTCGATTGCAGCTACTGTGGTTATCTAAAAAAAAGCCTCATACCTAAGGCGAAATCATGTTAAACCAGAACTATAACTAGTAAGTCAGCACCTATATATATATATTAAAAATATTTTCAACCTTCAAATGCTAAAACACGGTATAATCTTCATCGTGGGACCAAATTACTTTACTTATTCAATTTCAAAGATAACCTAAAAATCAAAGCAGTCTACATAGCAGTAATTTTTTTGAATTACTTGAAGAATTTACTGCTTAAAAATATATACTTTTACCAAATTTCTACACTAATATGAATAGTTACACACTCGCGTGCAACGAAATTAACTCACCCCTGTACTGTGCACAAAAGTTAGGTTAGGATTGGGTGACCATATGTAAAAAAAAATACAGGACATATATATATATTTTTTTATTGATTTTTAATTGTGAAAAAACATAATTTTTAATAATACTGTATAAGATTAAATTCATGTACTATACTTTTTTAAAAAATGTATTAATTCATTTTGATGACGATTGTTCAGACATGTTTTCACTATTTGATTTTTCATATTTTTCTGAAGAAGTAATTAGTTTTAATAATTGTGGATTTTTTTAAATAAATATATGAAATTCTGTACATGAAAAATTTTTTAAAATGTTGTTTTACGATCATTATCGATCTAATTGTGTCCACGAGACATCGACTTTTCTCATCTATCCATAAAATATTTGTAATTTAAAAAACTCTTTCTACTGACACGTTAGTTCCGAGAATAGCCATTGAATGCTCTAAAATTACCGTAAAATATTTAATTGGAATGTAATTTTTTTCTAGAATTTTTAATATTTCACACCACCTATCTTCGGTTTTTAAACCATTATCAGTTTTGAAAATTAACCTTCATTACATTTATCACATGATTAAATGTTTGCTACTGACAATGAACAAATGATTAGTATCATCATGTCCAAACACAAAAAATTCTTTGTCTTTTTTTTCTGTTTTATTTTCTCTGGAGAATTATTTAATTTAACAGTTCTTTGTAATTGTATTACTTCCAAATCCTTTTTCATCTCATTGCTTATGGTTTTAGAAATTGGAAAGGTTTGTGGAATTTTATTTGATTTTTTTGTTAATTGCATTATTTTTGGTTTCACTTCAGGTTCATTCTTTTTATTTTTCATTTCTTTATTTCCAGTCTGAATTGCTATTTGAACTGAATTAGTTTTCCTTAAAATAATTTTTTTGTTTGAGGGTTCAACCAACTTGTTGGACTCAAATTTTCTTTTTCTTGCTTCTAAAACAGGATCTATTGACCTAGATTCTATTTGATCATCTACGGTTTTTATTTTTTCCTTTTTCTTCAAATATTCATCATCTAAGATATTATTATCTTTGCGGCGAACATTAGGAGATACAGGTCTTGAAATAATTACTCTCTTTAATGGACTAGGTGATCTTCTAATAGCAGTTCTAATTTTAGGTGACCTCGACTTAGATTTAATCTTAAGAGGAGACCTACTTCTTTTCTTTAATGGAGACAGTCGTCTTATTTTTGGCGAAATATCTCGTGATAAAGAACTGTGACTTCTCCTTAGATATGGTGAACGATAAGGATATCGCGACTTTAGAAGAGAGTATCTCCTCGAAAAAAGATTTTTTTCTCTTAAAATTGATAATCTTCTAGGCGATCTTGATGATGATTTTTTTCTAAGTTTACTGTAAAGAGATATTGACTTCTCTCTATTACATGGTGATGGTGATTTTAAGGGAACACGAGGATTTAATAGAATGTATTGTGCTGGAGAGTTTCTTATTTCCTCTAAAGTTTTAATTGATTCTATTTCTTCGGGTGGATTAATTAAAGATGTTAAATTGTTAACAACCTTTGATTGATTTATAATATTTAATTCATCAACTTTCACAGTTAATTTATTTTTTATTTTCATCTCCGTACTTTTTTCATTCGTATTTTTATTGTTTAGTTTTATACTTTTATTAACTTTTTTTGATGTTTCAATATCTTCATCATTAACTTCAACTTCCATAATATCTATTAATTTGTTAAGTTCGTCCACATCTTCATCGTTTCCCCCTAGAGATAAGGCATCACCATCATCTGAACACAGATAAATATTATATTATTCATAAATATTCAATAAAATATATGAATATTGCTTACATACAGAATTAAATCTAAAAGAGAGCATGTACAATTTATTATACTATATAAGTTGTATATAACTTTTTTTATAACTTTTATTCAAATTTCAATATTCGTATAAGAGAGTAGCATTAAAATGGATGAAGAATTCGATATAATGAAAGAAAAAGTAACAAATATATTAAAGAGTGCCAAACCAAGGAAAGCAGCAGTCCTCGGTGAAGTATTGGCGAATTTTCTCTGACAAATTTTCCAAATAGTTATATTGGTTAAAGTATTACTTTGTACATTGAATTTTCTCTTAATAGACATAAGAATAGTCAGACGTAAATTTTCAATGTCATCTTCATCAATACTCTAAATAATAAATTGTATTTAAATTATTGTAAAATAAAAATATGAATGATTGAATAAGATTTAAAAATAGATATAAGTCACAAAATGACTAAAAGTAAAAATACTAGAGGCTTTATCACAACCAGCAACTATGTTCATATAATACATGTTACACATGTTGTCAAAAGCTACGAAAGTAACACTACAAAACTTAAATACTATAAAAATAATTAATTATAATAAAAGTTATAAACACTAAACATTGTTATATATTAAAAACATTATAATTTATCTAGTAACAATGAACAAAATATTATGGACTGAAAAAATGACCTTTTGAATAAATTTATTTCATATACCTAGTCAAAAGCTTATAAAAATGTTTATTAATAATGGAAAAATTCAAATATTCTATATAAATATACTAATGAGTATAACATAATGTCCTAATTTACAAATACATATAATGTACCTACCTTCAACTAGTTTTACATACAATAAATATTTTAATACTTCAAAAATAGACTTAAAATTGATGTAGATAGCTTTATAGGCTAGGAATATCTTATAATAAATTAATAATAATAATAAAAAAGGTTTGATAAAAAAAACTAAACCAATAAAATTCTCCATTTGCTAAACATTTAAAATTTCCTGAGTATATAAAAATTAAAGAGTATTTAAAGTACTAAAAAAGTTTATTAAAACTAGCATTGAAATACTTTATCACAGTTAAATAACATTTGAAAAACTACTACTACTACTACTACTAGCCATACTTCGCCATGCCATTCGATAAGGTATTTTATCTGCTACATCAAGAAACTAATTAATTACAATTAATTAATTTTTTATAAACAATTAAATAATTAAAAACATAAAAATTTATTAATTTAGCTTTTTTTATCCTATTTATATAATAATAATCAATAAAAATGTTTTTATATGTAGTGATTAAAAGCTGAAATCGATAAAATTCTGGAATATAAAAGTTTTTTAAACAAATATTTTGACTTTTCTGGTACAAATAATTGTATCTCATGTCATTAAGATGAATTGGTATGGTCTTTAAAGAACTAACTAATTAAGTAACTAATTGGACATTTAGTTTTCTCTTAGGTACATATTCACCTTTATTTTTATATTTCACGGTATAGATAAATATTCTAGCAATATGTATCGATTTATTTAGTTTCTCATTTATGTATATTTATTTTGTTCATTTATCTTTTTTTTATTTGAAGAACTTCTATAGAAATTCAGAAAAAAACGTTTTCTTTTATAAATTGCAAATTAAATGTAGTAAATAAAAGTAAATAGAACTTTTATCTATACTATATATAAAATTGTAAGGGTTTTTCTTCGACCGCGCTAACCGAGAAAACTACTGAACCGATTTGGCTGAAATTTTTTTTGGCTGAAACCCAACACTCTGCTGAAGGTTTTAGTACCATTTTTGTCAGTAAAAAAGTTCATAAAAAATTAAAAACAATTGTAGAAGAGTCACGTGTTAGCGGCTTTGTAAGCGGGCCGCGGGTTTACAGCTACCTGCAACTTGACCTTTATATAGTGTTTGATATTTAACAGGTCATCAAATGATTTAATTGACATTCATCAATAGTACACGCGCATCCAAAAACATTTGCCGAAATTAATAATAGTTTTAATATTATAAGAAGTGTATGGAAAATACCGATCACGTTTTGCGTTATCGAAAAATACTCTTATGTAATAATTAGGGCTCGGAAGTTGATGACCTAAAGAACCTTAAAAAATGACCTAAAAAAACATGAATAAATGATCTAAAAATGATTGAAAATGACTGCAAAAAATGACCCAACAATTGTCAAATTATAAAATAAAATAACTTTATTAATTAAAAAATGCAAAAAAATGACTTATTTTATATTTTTAAGAAAAAAACCTTTTATTTTACATCTTGTTAAAAATTATTATTTAAGTATAGCATAATTAAAATACAAAAAAAAATGACTTATTTTATATTTTTAAGAAAAAAAACCTTTTATTTAACATCTTGTTAAAAATTGTTATTTAAATATAAACCATAAATATCCTGCAAAAATATTTAAAACAAAATATAAAATGATCCTAATTAAATAACCTAATCAAATTTATTACATTGAACAATAAGTGTATGTTTGATATTTTCTATAGTAAATGATCTGCGATTGTCCGAAAGTAAATTCTTATACTTTGAGAAACTTCTTTCTACATCTACTGATGTAATTGATGCAAATTGAAAATGAGCAATATCGGAATTATTGAGGTCGTCTGGAAAGTTTTGGTTCGACACTTTTTCACCATTCAAAATTTTTGAAATTGTCGTCATTGTTTTAAAGCCAGTATTTTTATCCAAAACAGATTTTAATTTATTTTTAATATCTTTTCCTACTCTATTTCCTGCTTGTTGAATTTTATTTTCTACATCTTGTACAATTTTTATCGAGTGGTGAAGACTAAGCCCAAATGTTTCTGAGTTATAGAATCACTCAATGTTCCAAAATTAGAGTAAATGTATATCAAGTCACTTTTCAAATCACAATCGTCCATGAGATCTTGAGCTTTCTCAATCGATGTAGCGTCTTCTCTATTTAAACCAAGTATTATTTCTTTTAAAGTTTCGAAGTGTTCACAATAATAATTTGCGGCACTTAACCTTGTCCCCCATCTAGTTAATACAGGCTGTGGCGGTAAAGAAATATTCGGTGCCTTTTCTCGAAAAAATTGAATACGGGCAGGACACTTTAAAAAAATTTTTTTTACGTTAGACATTAATTGATCAACTTTAGGAAAATATTTACGAACTTCTTCTGCAACCCTGTGTAATCCGTGAGCTAAACAGGTGACATGTTCCATTTTAGAGTACATTATTTTTATGCCTTTACCTAACTCGATAAATAATGAAGATATTTTAGAAGTGTACTCTACTCAAAACAGAAAATTTGTATAAAAATTAAATTAAAAAAATTAGATTTTAGAAATTAGAGTTTAATTTGTATATGTGTATTATTAACTTGTGAACTTTGGTGGATTTGTTTGAGGAGGGTATAATGAGGGCTAGCCTTGCTAAAATGTAAACGGAATCTATAATATTCAGTATTAATAAATTTTGTCTCTATTTAAATTTATAAGACGGTGTTGTGAGGGCATATCCGTCGTGGGTCTATGTTTTCTTTTCGTTAAAACTCTCCCCCCTTCCCCAAAAAAATAAACCCTAATTGCGCCTACGAATATGGTATTCAGGTTTACTTGACTGATCACATGAACAGGTATATCTATCAAGTATAAGGTTGCGTGTATGGCTGCCTTTAAATATAACACGGTCAAGGAGGGAGGATGTTACTACACCTTTAACACCCCCCTGGCTACGCACCTGCTTTTCACTCATCGTTGATCATAGGCTATGACTTCACTCTGCGTAGTGTACTAAACGATCTTTCTACCATGCGAATTAGTGGTAATGTTAAGTATAATAAAATACAATCTTTAATTTCAGAAATTACCCCCACCATCTACTATCAAGTTTCTAAACTTAATTCAAGCATTTTAGTATAGTTTTGAAAATATTTATTAATATATAATTTATAATAATAATAATAATAATAATTTTGGTTTCAGTGTTCAGTCACTTGCTCCACTCTGACAGTTGCATTCTCTTAGGCGAATTTCTGGCAAATTCAGTTATTATTTCACTTTCATCAAATTGCTCTCTTTTATTTATATTAGCCATAGCTAACCCATTCAGTCTGTTTTCCGACATGGTGCTTCTTAAAAAATTTTTTAAGCGATTAAGTGCTGAAAACGTTCTTTCCGGAGTGAAAGAGGTAACTGGTAACGTGGCGAATAATTGTAAAAGTATTTTAATGTTAAGTCGAAGATTGGTGCGATGAGAGAGTGAATCAAGAGCAGAATTCGGTTTTGGAATAGTATTTTGACTCCATTGCTGCCTCCATATGAACAGGTCAGCTCTGATTGTAGATGAGGTATCATCATGGAGATCTTGGACATATATTTTAGCAGCTTTTATAATATTTTTATCGTCATACATATTTAAATTGGCCGGAATAAGTCCTTTAAGTGGCATAACATCAATAAGCCTTTGATTAAAACGAGCATTGATTCTATTAAATAGTCAAGATACATTATACATATAAACACGATCCATGGGGGAGGATATAGCCCCCTTAGCCCCCCCCCCTTGGCTACTCCACTGAGATTTTCCAACAACATTTCAAATGAATCCATGTAATAGTTTTGGCTGTATGCTGATCAGTCAATCAATCAGTGGCATTTGAATTTTATGCATAGGTTATAAACAAATATTAGTACTTATTTAAATTAAATAAGTTAAATTTAGGTATTTTGACGTGCGTTTACCAAATCCCATGGCGCTTAGCTCAGCACGTTTCTCAATTTGAATATACGCGCCGCGCAAGTTTTCCTTTGATGCGGGATATAGAGACCGACAATCATCGGAAACGTTAGTCACGTCACGCCGAATGAATCCCACGGTACCGCGCTGTACCACGCCACGCGTCGTGGTATCTCACCTTAAGATATAATAATAGGTAAAAACAACAAGTTCACTTTAATTTACAAATATATTGTTTAAATACATAAGATAATATTTATTCAATTGGTCATCAACAACTGACATATAATAAAATTAAATTAAATATAATATACTTTTTCTACAGTAAACCCAATAAAAAATAATATATTAAAATGTTTATAGATAATAATTACAATAGATAGTTTATATTAATAAATATTGAATTCAGTCATATAATACTAAATAAATACAACACAATGCAATTTTGTAGTAAAAAGTACTATTAATATTAAAAAGTAATATTTTCTGAATTTTTGACTCCTGACAAAATTATATATACACATACATACATATACATAAACATATACATACATATAGGTATATATAGGTATAAAAAAAACAATATTAAGGATGAAAAAAATTATAAAATATACTTTTAACATAATATACTTTAATAAATCTAACACATATTTGTGCTCTAATCATTCATTAATTATCATATATTCAGTTCAAATAATTATTTTTACAGTTAATCAACACCACAAAAATTACTATAAAAATAACTATTTATATATTTTAATGTTACTTAGCACACAGACCCTGCAATATTTAAGAAATTAAAGTGGTTGGGCTAAATAAATTAAGTAAAAAATATTTTATACATAACTATTAATATATCAAACATCATTGAATAAAAAAATTGAAAGTATTAAACCATAAAACAATAAAAAAATACTCAAGGTAGATATCAGAAAATGATACATTCATGTACTGTAAAAGGAACAAAACAAATATTTATGCTTGTTTTTGAGTGTTTAGCTGTAATTATGAATTATGTAACATGATTAAATAGCTTGAAAAATAATATGAGACTTTTGATTCATAAACAACAAGTTAAGCTTGGAGCTAAGACCAACATTATCAATATAGAGTAGTTTAGCTTCGTTTTGTTTAGGACATTTTACTACAACTGCAGTCCCAGAAACCCGAAGAGCATGTGACTCTTGATCAAATTTATCACTCTTTAATATCACTTGACATGTGACATCAACATGAATGTACTTGGTCACAGTCACTCCATTTTTTCCTTTCACCTAAAATTTAAGATTTATTTACACTTGTTCAAAGTCAAATTTATTTAAACATACAATGCATTGTTGATCCTCAATTTGAGGATTATCACAGCGGAATACTGTAGCTTCACCAATATTTTGAGTGCCATCCATAACTTCAAACTTCATGCCACAAAATACTGCTTGAGGTTGAAATCCATATCCCTCCGGGTATGAATCACTCCAGAAAAAGTTAGTGTTATTGTTAAGATTTTGAGAATCTGGTTTAAATGTAATACGTTTCCCATATCCCATTCCAATATTGACCAATTGTAAAGCATTGCCTTCAAAAAAATAGTTCTTGTGACCGGTTGGACGTACTTTATAGTGAAAACCAGGAATAACTCTTGGATCAACGTATGTACCTAAAATCAAATAAAGTTATTTACCATCTGCAATGCATGATGATACTTTTGTTCTTTACCAATAACAGGCATTTCATATGGTTCTAAACCAGTCATTGTGTACATAGTGGGTGCATCACCAATACTACTACCATTTAATACTAGTTGCCGTTGCTTATCATCAACACCTGGTATTAAAGTGTAACCTCGACATGGCATAAAACCAATAGCAGCATCTAATATCTTTACAAGTTTTGCCGATCCACGTGATGATTTAGAAACTACAGCAATACCAGTGACCTATAAAGTTAAAATATTGAAACATTATCCCATGAAAAGATAAAAGTAAAAAAAGTAAATCAAATTAATCAATAAATAATAAATTTTTACATTAATATATACTAACTGGTGTTATTGCAGATAAATCATCTTTATAAAACCAATCTATTTTACACATCATATTTACTTCCACATGTTTCCTCACTTCTCTATTTTCTGTTACATCATGCTTGATTTCCTTCTGAGCACTCTAAAATCATCAAATAATTAATTTAAATACTATCATTATATATAATGAGTTATTATAGTATAACATACTTAAAACCTATAAATAAATAATATTAATTATATAATTAAACGATTGTATTTATATTTATTCATTTTAAATATGTAAATATTTATATTTATGCAATATAATAAACTTAGCAAGTGTAATACTGTAGTGGAAGTAAATACAAATAATTATATATGAAATTAAAAAATTATAAATCATTTATTCAAGTCATGTGTTATATTTAAGTTCAACATTTTAAATATTAACACTATCAAGTAGGTATTTCTCAGATTAAGAACATATTTATAATTACCGGGATTTTAGTAATTTCTAATGAAGCAACAGCAATATTATTCGCATCATATACTGTAAAATTATCTCCAACAGATACAACATGTATTTGAAATGCATAACCAAAGGGCATAGAATCTGTCCAAAAATAGTTGTCATTATTATTTAATAATCCTGGACTAGCTTCGAAAGTTAAACGTCTTGAATAACCACGACCAATGCTAGTTAATTCCAATGCTCTCTTATCAAATAAGAATCGTGTTCGCTAAACAAATAAAAATCATTATATAAACTTTTTTTAATAAACAACCAACTATTTAAACTAACCTCTTTTTCTTCAATTGGTCGAACTTTATATTTAAATCCAGGTACAATATTTGGATGGATCCAAACGCCAACAGCAGCAAACTCATATGGCTGTAATGACGGGACCGAATATCTAGCTGGAAAATCATTGAGTTCGGCTCCATCTAAGTCGACCACAGATGTTTTTTCAACATTCAACTCAGAATTATTATTCTTAGCTTTTAAACAGTGGAATTTTGATGAGACATTGATTTTATCTGGATCGGAAGTGTCAGCAAGCTCCTAAAAACAAATTATAAACACAACAACCCTATTATTTCTTTCTAAAATGAGAAAAATATGTTATCTACTAATATTCTAGATGAGTTAATAAGAATATCTATAGATTATATAAAAAAAAAAAAATATTTTATAGTTAATTTATATTGAAAAAAGGAAAAGATTTAAGGATAACATTTTATAATTTAAAAATAATAGTTATAGCAATATTTAATTTTATAGTTAATTTATATTGAAAAAAGAAAAATATTTAAGGATATTATCTTATAACTTAAAAAATATTACAAATATTATTTTTAAAATTGAATTTAATATAGGCAAATATTATATCGACAAAGATGTTTCCATCAGTGCAGTTTATCTAGTGGCAGAAAAACAAGTGGTTTTGATAAACTTAAGTGAAAACATTGACAAGCAGCAGAAGAAATGATGTCCACCATGACCATCCATGAATCCATGACCTCTCCTCAGCATAGCTCCTAGTAGCATCGTTCAGGATCCATATACGAGTTTCTTGTCTTAAAGTCTACCAAACACACATGTTTTTATGCCATCATTTAAAGCGCCCCGTGCATTTGCAATTGTAATGGGTTGTTTTCTTTTATAAATTAAATTAAGTTACAATATTTCATGTTTCTTTTTTTTCTACCCGCATTTACTGAGTATACTTATAATTATAGGATT